AAGGCTTTGGTAGCTTGATCTGCTCTTAAAGGAGAGGCATAGGCAGAATCTTTGCGTAACTTGTCTTATTGCTACTTTAGATACTTGCCCTTTGCTGGAGGGGTTGCCCCACGTTGTGCAGCTGACTCCTCRCCCGGCACCTAAGGCTTGCACAGTTTCCCGGCGCCTTTGTCCTGGTGCTGGAAAGTAGCCGAAGCCCCCAGTTGTCCGTCTCGGAGGAGGAATGYCATCTCTAAGAATGTTGGCGGCACACGTAGCGCTTCCGTTCCTGCACGCTTGCCAGCTACTGCTGCATTGCGAGTGGGCAATGGCGCTCTCGCACAGAGGAGCGTGTCTTCCTGATGATTAGAGCTTCTCAGCGGACCCTCAGAGATAAAGTAGCTGTAACAAGGTTGCGCTTGAATCRTGAGGAGTTTTACAAATTCTGATGGTGACATCTTCTCTGCACTCTTAGGTATACCCAGGTGCAGCGTTACCCACTTGTCTTTGCTTTGCAGTAGAAGGGCACAGCTACTGCAGTTCTTAAGTGGAATTGTCCCTGTTCTGATTTAATGGCTCTACAAAGCCTCTTGGCATGCTCRGCCTTAGGTGAAGGAAAATATCCGCTGTGGCAAATAGCTGGCCTATTGGTTTTATAATCTCACCTCGCAGCAGTAAAAAACTTTCATCAAGAGCATCATCATSAGAGTCAGAAAACTGCACTCCCTATAAAATTACTGCTATCTCTTGGAAGCTTTCCCATGCTTTCTGTAGAACCTTAGGAAAAGGTGTTAGTGCTGTTGTGGGGTTTTTTTTTTTTTTTTGTCTGCCTTGTGATTGCTTCAGAAAGGAAACTGACTTCCGAGCGAGGCTGAAAAATACCTTGTGCATACGAAGGACAGGGGMACACACAGGACAAAGGACTTGGACATGGTGAATCCAAAGAATTTTGACCCAAAGTAAACTTTGAAGAAACCCTTCCTTGCTTGTGCGTGCTCGCGTTTACGGAGATTGGCAGGCTCCCTGGTCTCAGCCGCTTAGTCAAGTGTTCCCTCTCCTCAGCCGGATGCAGTTTGGCCTGCTCCTCAGACGCTTGCAAACTGCAAGCGGGGCTGCAGCCCCGGGTCTGAGCTGTGCCCGCTCTGCCACTTCTGCGGGAGACATGGCTGTCGCGGGCGTCTCCAGACTTGGCTGGGCAAAAGCCCTGGCCTGGCCCGGGAGCAGGATGCCCAAGTCCCTCAGGGWCATGGGGGAGCTGCCCTCTGCGCAGCAGCAGTGCTTCCTGGTCTCGGGTGCCGCGATGTGGGGGCCTTAGCACGAGGACGGACCGCTGCCTTCCAAGAATCACAGTCRTCTTCCAAGAATCCATTGCCCCTTGGCTATCAGCTGTGTTTTCAGTCAGCTCGTCCCCAGATGGTGCTTGGCCTATTTCGTTTAATCACGGCAAAGCAATACGCGATCGCCAGCTGCTTCCCACTTCCCCTCTGAATCTTAGTTCTGCCCTTCCCCAGGGTATCCACGTTCCCCGCCTCCAATTCMCTGCAGAAATTGCCCAGCGGTTGCCATGGGGACTGGGGAAAGAAGTGGAGCAGGGCATCAGCTGAGATCCGTCCTGGCTGCCTGCCTGCGTCCTACTCCCGAGCAGTCAGTGTGTTTTTAATCGGGTGACACCGAGCAGGAGGCATGGCTTTGTCTCGTGGAGCCGGAGGGGGACGTTAAATGCTGGACGCCTCTGCCGCAGCCCGCCAAATTCACAGGCCGTGCGAATGCTGCCTTGCTCAGAGCTGGGTGCCTTAGACTCAGCCGAGAGCTTTTTCTTCTCTGATTCGTTTCRCTTATTCCTGACATCTCTGGGGCTCTTCAGGCCCCAACTGGGGAAGCGTTGCTCGAAATACGCCAGGTGAGACGTGTGGTCGTTGAGAACTGAACTTCAGAGCGTCAAGGGAGTGCCGTGACCCTTGCMCTGCAAACTACGGATGAGTTCTGCCCTTTGGCCGAGTGCCGGTACATGAATGCGTGTTACTGTAGCCTTGCTGTAACAGCCTCAGGTGCGATGAGAATCGTCCTGTGCAGTGTGCCATGCTTCCTGCCACCCAGCAGCAGCTGTCTCGCTCGCGTTTCGCTTTCTGGAATTTCYTTGTAGCCAGAGGAAGGCATCTGGCCCGCTGTGTCCACATTTCTCTCCCCCTACTGTGGAAGTCTAAAATGGGTGTTTGTAGAGGCACGGTTCCTGTCTTTTGTCTGTGAAGGTTGCTGCAGGTCATTAGCTGAAAGGTAGGCAAGAGGGAGAAATACTCGCCAACACCAGACCTACGCAGACCACATGAAGGAGCAGGATAAGCAACTTTGGAAAATGCCTGCTCATATCAGTACCGGAGTGGATACTGAAGCCTTGTCCAACCAGTTCGAGAGGCACCAGGTTAGGGCTGCCTTTAAAGCAACAGCAAATCGATGCATACTTCGGTTTCCACTGTCTTAATGTCAGAAGATTGCGTAGCCTGATCGGCAGGCATCGCAAGGAATTCGCCGTGTTGCCTTGTACTGAGTCCGTACTCTAAGAGAAGCTTCTGGTGCTGTTGCAGGCAGGCTTTTGTCACCTGCTCTGTTGCAGGATGAACGTGATGTTGGAGCACTGAGGTTACAGAGCTTCACATAGCTTTGACTGGCTTCTTCACTTGCACCCGTTATTTACCTTTCCTCCTCCCGGTATTTTCCTCACTTACTAATTCACTTGTTTTCAATCTATTTGAGTTTTTGAAGACTGTGCTTGGCATAGTTGTGAGAACGTACGGACTGTGCTTTGAAGGATATTTTGGGTACTCTTTTTACACAAGGTTCTTCTCTGAGATTTGTGCCGTGGCTCCATTTTTAGCAGGGCTCGGGGCTATTTTCTTCTGCGATTCAAAGCTGGAGGAGCTGATCACGGAGGTGTAACCGTGGGGTGTGAAAAGATCTTCTCGGAAAATGCCTCTGTTGCGGGGTGCTTTGTCTCACCCCCACTGCGAAAATGCAGCTGGCAAATGGCTCCAGATTCCAGTGAATTCCTCTTGGACTGATAGCTGGGAAGGAAAACTCCAGAGTTTAAATTACGCTTTATAGTTGGACTCTGGGCAACTATTGGAGTTCGAAGATGGGTATCTTTGAGCGGGAAAAGGGTGTCTCCGGTGCTCTGTGCTGGCACTGAGCAATTTGCACTCGTTTGAAATTTGCACGCTCAGCTCACAATACGGAGAGCACTTGGTCACCGCTCCCTCGGACATATCAGAAGCGGGCGTGAAAAGGCGGATCGGTTTCCTCGAGCAGTGTGCCTAACTCACTTCCCCGCCTTGGGAAGGGCTGCCCGTGGGTCCCTGCAGCTCCTGTGTACCCCGTTTCGCTTGAGTCGGTGTCAGGTTAGACATAGGCAGCCAGTACCCAGAAGCCGACACACTCTTCCTTCACGTGAAGCGGCAAGTTCTGTGCCTGTCAGGTAGAGCCTGCTGTGCTAGCCTTAGTCTTAGCCGGTGGGGGGGCGTCCTCCCTGCCTTGTGCCAGAATCGTGGGCTAATTTGAGCTCCTTTCTTTTGCTGAAGTGCAAAACTAATTATATTTAACCGCAAGTGAGCATTAAGCTGCATTAGTGAAATTCGTCAAATCAAAGCAGAATTATTCATAAGTATTTGGGGGCTAGGAACCTTTGTAACCAGATGAAAGATATGGGGGAGGGCAGAGCTCTAGAAAGTGTTATTGTGTGACTATGAAGAGGCCTTTCTTGTAATGCATGTAATGCGTAATTATGGGGGTGCTAAACAGGCCTTTATTGCTTGACCTTGGAAGCAGAATGCAAATAGGCTCTCAGAGTGTCTGTTACACAAAAAGCAGAAAAAACCCACTCTCGCTTCCCTGAACTGCAGAACCCAAGGACTGATTAACCGCTGACTGAAATCAGTTACCGGGTTGGCTTTGGTAGCTTGATTGTGTAGCAGACAATAGAGCGTAGCACGTGGGGGGAGCAGGCTTGTGTAATTTACTGTGCTGCTGATCATACCCTGTTCATCCAGGCTGTAGTGACAGCAAAGTGCTGGAACCTGCCTTTGTCAGTGACCGGTTAGGCTCCCTGGTACAGAATGAAGACTGCGGAGGAGCTTGATGTTATAATGCAGAGAAATGTCTTTTCTCAGATGCTACTTAATTTCCCCTGTGGCTTTGGCTTCCCCGACGGAAGGCTCCTGGGGAAATATGGGTGAGCTCTGGGGTGCCTAGTCTCGCCTGCCAACCCTTTATTGCCACACTTTATAGGAGAAAGCCTCAATAACTTTTGCAGAGGCCAAACAAAAGCCAGGGCCGCCTTCGGTCTGCACCCACAGGATGCAGTCCATTGTCCTGGCTCCTACCCAGAACTGACACGGCAAGAAGACCCAGAGAGATGGCAAGAAGACAGGGCCAGCCTAGCAGCACCACTGGTATTCTGCACTGCTTCCCCAGCCCCTTGATGCTGTAGCACCATCCGCCAGGGACTTGCTTGTCTGCCAAGCTGTCACTCTTTAATAGCAGTGTTGAGCTACACGCTGACGTTGTTAAAGGCCAAATCGGCGCTTTTGACAGCAGCGGTTAGCTTGTAGGAATGCGACTGGTGTTAGGCTGTGTTCCTGGGCTAAGGTAAATCAAGTGTAAAAGGCGTAGATTCCTGCGTGTCAGCACTTTCTCTCTCGGAATAAGCATTTGCGGGGAGCTGCTTTCCCTTCCTGCCTTCTGCTCTCTCCCGAGTTTTCCTTTGAAGGAAGCCAAAGGACATTAGAGGAGATGAAAAGGCAGGGAGAGCCCCTTGAAACGGGAACACACAGGTAATCCCAGAAGCACTGGCACGTGAGCAACATGCCATCAGAGTAGAAGTTTGCAGCCCCTACTCTGCCACACAGCTACCCATGCTGTTTTGCGTGCTGCCATTGCAATGCTACCTTTTTTTTTTTTTTTTTTTTTTTTTTGTAATGATAACAACTCGTATTGTCTGACCATTTTCTCTGTGCTTATTTCTTTTCTAGCCTCTCTACAAGTGGATATTGTTCCAAGTCAGGGAGAGATCAGCGTTGGAGAATCCAAGTTCTTCTTATGTCAAGGTGAGAAATTTTTAGGTATCTTCAGGTATCTGGGTTTGCTGGGAAGACCCATCAAAATTTCAGGTCTGCAATAAAAGCTCTAGTTCTGGGTGTAGCTGCAGGATTTCCTGTGTGATTGCGAGGAAAAGGTCATGTGAGCCACGACACACAACACAGTTGTACCAGCTGTTTTCCTGTCCTAGAGTTTCTTTCCCGTTGCTTTTCTCTCCCTTTCGTTTTGTTAGGCTGAATAGTAAAGGCAGCCCATAGTGTATAGTGGGGACTGTAGATCAAACTCCCCTCCTTGTGGCGCAGGAATGCTTCTGTAAGACTGCATTTCTCGTGACAAAGTTTATTCGTCACTCCACTCGGTCTCTTTTCCTGCACTGTGCAGTGCAATGCAGATTTGTCAGATGTGCCCAATGTGCACTCTAAGTCATTTTCATCAAGAGCAGCATCCTCATGCACCCTTCAGGGTGCTCCTGAAAGCGTCTCATCTGGTTTCTAATGGGAGGATGGGGGGCCACAGACATGATAGCGTCCTAGAGCACGACACGGAGCAAATCCGTGCTGGAATAAATTGGTGGGCACTAAGTGCTTTCACAGCAGCCCAGTTCTGAAGCAGCCCACGTGGCTGAAGTGGGGACTGTTCCTCTCTTGGATTGTAAAACCAGCCTAATCATTTCTTTTGCAGCAGAGCAGCTGACCAGAGCATTACAGTGAGAGAGCATTATTCTCATTGCTCGCTTCTCAGCTACTGGAAGCCCTTCCCCGGCCCTACCTTCTGTATGGCGATGCCGGTTGTGCTTGGTTCTCTCTGTGCAGACGTGTTGGGAGCCCAGGTCAATGAGCTTTGCTTTCTTTTGTTGTCCTAGTGGCAGGAGAAGCCAAATACAAAGACATCTCCTGGTTTTCCCCTAACGGTGAGAAGCTGACACCCAACCAGCAGCGCATCTCAGTAGTGCGGAATGATGACTTCTCTTCCACCCTCACCATCTACAACGCCAACATCGATGACGCTGGCATATACAAGTGCGTCGTCAGCAGCGTGGAGGAGGGAGACTCTGAGGCCACCGTCAATGTGAAAATTTTCCGTAAGAGACTAACTCTGGGACTTTCTGGTCTGCCTCAAACATGTATGAGGCAACCGCCTGCTTTTCCTAGGAAATGCGGTTTGCTAAAAGGAGGAAAGAGAGTGCAAGAAAGGGGAATGTTAAGAGGATGCAGTCTTCTTTCTAGTCTTCGAGGGAACAGTAGGAAGTGGGACCTCGGCCTGTCAGGGGATTCCCAGCTTGTCCGCTGCTTAAATGCCTCTCAAAGGCAAGGGAGCAAAGGGCAGAAGATTTCCTTGCGTCATGATAGTTTGGGGAGAAGTGAGCACAAGATACGTTGTGGGTCACAAGTATCATGTGAGATAAGATCAGTATTTAGTACAGTTTAGGAGCTTTGTCGTTATCCATGAGCCTGTTCTCCAGGTAGCTGCTCCGCTCCTTCCTTTCAGGAAGCTGAGCGGGCCCACCTTCCCATTTACTCTTCCCGGTGGGCACAAATCTTTGTACTCAGTAGTGTTGATTCAGCCTGTTGCTGCTCCTCTGAGGTAGGACCGGATAACGGGGTTCCTGCATCACAGCACAGTGCTATTGAGTCAGGCGCATCCCTCTTCTCCGCTCTGGGAACTATCGCTTGGTAGTTGAAATGTGTTCGCTGGGATTTCTGTGCTTTGCTTGGGCTTGAAACGGGGGCAACAGCTTGAGGTGCGCTGAGGAAGCTGCAGTGATCATCATCTTCCATTCTTTCAGAAAAGCTAATGTTCAAGAATGCCCCCACCCCTCAGGAATTCAAGGAAGGAGATGATGCTGTGATTGTGTGTGATGTGGTCAGCTCGCTGCCTCCCACCATCATCTGGAAGCACAAAGGCAGGGATGTTATCCTAAAGAAAGATGGTAAGGCATAAGAGGTCTTGGCACTCGCTCTTTCAAGGGTCAAATGTCTGCCTGCCATCAGCGCTACAGATTACACTGACACGAGGATTTTGGGAGAGTGGAATTGTGGCAGTCACAAGGGAGGAGGGGTCAATCTGTCCCTAAGAGGGGGCAATACGGACGCCAATGTGACCCGCTGTGTTTTGGCAGCGGTGTGGCAGTTCTCACGTAGATGGCAGCCAGACTTTGACTGGAATCAAAGCTAGGGAGTGCCAGAAATCTCCGACAAAAGGTGCTGACAGGCCAGAAAGCCTCATGTGGTGACACGTGCCAGTCTCCCTAGGGAAAAGGGCAGCCTTTTCCCTAGGTCGTGGCGAGAGACTTTCCCTTTCTTCCAAGAAGCTCCAAACTGCCATGCCCAGATTGGCATTTTCCTGTCAGAGGAGGCTTCAGAGCCTTGACTCCACCACTTGAGCACTCACACCTCAGCAGTATTTTGCACCCCTTGCTGCAGGCACAAGAAAACCGTAGTAGACTTGAACTCTGCCCTGCCTCGGGCAAGAGGGACAGGTTTCAAATTGATCACTGGATTTTGTCTGGTACCGATTAAATGTAAATGTGTTTGCGTGTGCCTGTGCATATTGATCTGCGTGTGTGTGCGCACAGTATAAAATACCAGAGTGCTTTGCGTCTGCTACCCTTGTCCCGTTTCTTTCTCGGCATTGCCATATCAGCTAACAGCAGCATCTCCGTTACCAGGGTGGAAGGGGAAGTTGCATTATACACGAGGTCTCATCTGCAACCCAGAAAGGGCAGGGAGAGAAGTACGTGTTACCTGCAGCAGCCTTTCCTGAGGATCCTTGGATGAACCTTTCTTTTGTCTCTTTTAGTCCGATTTATAGTCCTGTCCAACAACTACCTGCAGATCCGTGGAATCAAGAAAACAGATGAAGGGACATACCGTTGTGAGGGCCGGATCTTGGCTCGGGGAGAGATCAACTTCAAAGATATTCAAGTCATCGTAAATGGTGAGCAGCTCAGAGTAAGAGTAGTGAAGGGGAAAGGTCTGCACCACCTATGCGCTAGGCTGCTGGTAGAAATGTTGCAGCAGATTCCTACTCATGAATTACCCTCCGTTTATTAATCTGTCTTTACTGTGTCCAAAAAAGGAAAAGGAAAAAAGGAAAAAAGAAACTGCTTGAGCATTTACAAGATGCCTACAGGGAATTACAATGTCAAGAGGAAGCTTAAGGGCCTTATGAGTCAGAGGAAGATGCTGCCATTGTTGAGCTCCTAAGCGTTTTTGTGTATGATACCAATTTTCAGTGGATCTCTCCCATGTCCTGTCTCGGCTTCTCCTTTCCCCACCTATTGCTTTAGAGAGCTCATGCATCGAACCTGCAGATGTTGATATCCGAGCTTGCCTCTCTAGGGACATCTAGGAGGACTACAGAGATTGCACTGAGCCTTCCTCCTTGCTCCCGTCTTGTGTCCTCTGTTCTGTTTTAAATGTACATTCCCTCTCTTCTAGTGCCTCCTTCTGTGCGCGCCAGACAGAGTGCTATGAATGCCACTGCCAACCTCAGCCAGTCTGTCACCTTAGCATGTGATGCAGATGGCTTTCCTGAGCCAACCATGACGTGGACAAAGTAAGATGCTGTGTGCAGAGTCCTGATTATATGTGAGCATGGATGGTTTCACCAAGGCCCTGAAAAAACATGCAGAAGGGACAGCAACTTTTTAACTGGAGTACCAGTAATTTATTTCTCTCTCAAGAGAAGGAATGGTCTCCCAAGAGGGGAATTGCAGTGCTTTCAGTGTTAGCTTCCTAGAAAAAAACAAGAGCAAAACCAGTAACAAAAGCAATTCTTCGCTGTCCCATTGCATCCTTCACCAGGCTGCAAATAGAGATGAAACTTCACGATGACCAGGCTTGTCCCTGGGGTCAATTTATTATCATCTGTTGCACAGGTGGGGAAAATGAGGTAGGAGTGGATGCTGTAACTTGCCTTTGTCGTGCCAGGAGATTCTGATCCAAGGGCTTTCCCTTTACTTCATGGGCTCAAGTTTGACTGTCAGTCGGTGGAGCAGACCTCTGGTATCCTGATTCTGCAGCTCACGTAATCTTTGGTGTAAAGGAACGTCTCTAACCTGAAAAAAGCTGACAGCAAACTTGCCGTACCACCTTAAGCGGGAAGGGCAGAAGCCACCTTTTGTGGTGTTTGTAGCTCTTGCCTCCAGAAAATGACATGTACCCGAAAGCGAAAGGTTTCTGCAGTCCAAAGCCCTAGGGCGAGAGAAATGAGGCCTAGACTAAGATGCAAGCCTTGGAGCCCCGCAGAAGGGCAAGGGTGGAGATACTTTCCAAACAGAGGCACTCGAGGGCAGTTCAACTGCTCTCGCATTAACATGACACCTAAAGCAAACGGCCTGGGTGTGCCACTCCTCCCCAAACCAGCCTTGTGTGCTTTGTGACCTGCAGGGATGGAGAGCCGCTAGAGCAGGAGGACGACCGAGAGAAATACAGCTTCAACTACGATGGCTCTGAGCTCGTCATCAAGAAGGTGGACAAGAGTGACGAAGCAGAGTACATCTGCATTGCCGAGAACAAGGCTGGCGAGCAGGATGCCACCATTCACCTCAAAGTCTTTGGTAAACACGATCGCGCTGCGAGCTGGGTATGGGTAGCTGCCTGAGGCAAGCTGAAGGTAGACTGCCTGTCCCGGGCAATGCCTGACATGTGCCTTAACCAGTGCTGTCCTTTCCCACGTGGTGCTGTGCGTCATTGTGCCATCGTGCACTGCCGTATGGATTCTGAGCACACCTGTCATGTAGATGCCAGCTCGGTTGCTTTTCCTGTCTCGTAAAAGAAACTTGGTGCTGTGCAAAGGGGTGGTGTGAGACTCGCATTCCCTTTGCAATCTCTTCCGAGCTGTGAGGACTGGGAACCAATCCAAATGAAGTTGCTGGAAAAAGAGATGCAGCGCTTCCACGGGGCTTGCTGCGATTGGGCAGTGAGGTGAATTCCGCCTACCGCTGTGTGGGAGACCTCAGAATTAGTGGAGTGAACCTGCACATTTCCTATCTTGCATGATTCTTGGAGTTGGGAGGAATATCTTTTCCGCTGCAGCCTAGGTATGCCTTGATGGTCACTCAAGCAGCCTGCTCATGGAATTGGCTAATTGGGGTCGGAGGAAACGTAGGCCCTGGGGTAGAAGTCTCACTTGCTGACCCCAGGAGCTGAGGTCTGATCGTTTCAGTACTGCTGCACAACATGGGCTCTGTAGCAGACGGTGAGCCCTTCTAGTGTTCGGTGAGCACAGCTGCGGGAAGACGTCTAGCTCTGCAGTGCGGCACCGTCTTCCTGGTCCTTGGTCACATGTCACTCTGCTCCCGTCTGCCTAAAGCAGAAAAACTTTGGCAGCGCGAAAGCCTTTTTCTCCTCCGTGTTGCTCTTCCGGGCATTGTTGTTTGCAGGTGAGCATCGTCCCGAGCAGCAGCTGAGTGAAATTTTGTTTTCTTCTTTTAAGCCAAACCCAAAATCACATATGTGGAGAACAAAACAGCCATGGAGCTGGAGGAGCAGATCACACTGACCTGTGAGGCGTCTGGGGACCCAATCCCTTCCATTACGTGGAGAACTTCCACCCGGAACATCAGCAATGAAGAAAAGGTATCACCACTCCTAAAACCAGAAGCTTGGTGGTTGGGTGCCGTGCATCTCGTACCTTCCTGTTTCTGCTGAGCCGGCGGGTATGATGGCAGCAGGCAGATACACACAGAAATCATGGTTATTCCCTCTTTAGTGAGAATACTTGCCGTCCTGCACAGCCCCTCCAGTAAAGGGCCAGCTCACCAGCTGAAGTGAAGCACCGTAGCACCTTTGATGTCCTTTTGTACAAAGAGCAATCACACTAGCTAGCAAGTGAGGACCTGCTTTTTAACCTCTGCTTGTAAATTAATTTGCAAAGAACCAGGCCATGGACCCTTTGCAGGGGAATTTTGAAAGGGTCTTCCAGATGCTGGAGACCTGAAAGGTTTCTCGCGTTTGTTTCCAAGTTGGGAGGTGGCAGTGAGTACCCTGATTCTTGTGTTCTCCATGCTGTCATCATGATGGTGGAATGATGTGGGCAGGTGGCGGGGGCAAGTGGCAACAGAGAGGATGCTACCTGCTGAAGAGGTAGTGAACCAAAATGAGCCTGTTAATTCCTTCTTGCCCTTCTGTATTGTACACCAGCACTGCATGTGTTCAGAGCACAAAAGCCTGGCTGCCTTTGTGTTCACCGGTATCATTGGTCACATATCAATATCATTTTGTTCGGAAAAGGCAAAAATATTTCGCAGTTTTTTAATTAAAAAAGAGAAATCATGCTGCTTTTTACTGGCTGTGATCCCCCTTTACCAGACAAGGCTCAGGGTGCGTTCCGTTACTTTAGGTATTGCAAAATACGCTGGGGAGGAGGAATAGGTCAGCTAAAATAAACCTAGATAAGTGACTGATGAGAAACTAGTTGCTGGTTATCAATAATCTCCTTATGATAGGATGCGTCAAAGCTCAGGTGCTTCAGCCTTGGACATTCCAGTGGGAATGCTCAGTATGAAGGCGGGAGTGGTAGGCTGTGGAAGAGAAATGGTGACAGCCACTGCCATAGAGCCACCTATGTAGCTTCCCCTTTGCACTATAGCTTCTTAAATGAGCTTTCTGTGTTACCTCGGTGACAATCTCAGCTCTTCACTGCCCTGCCACCATGTATTTTTTTTAACTTGGACTGCCAACATTTTCTGGCCCCGACTCTCCTTCAGCAAAAGTATTAGCTGCTTTTGCATGCAGGCATTAATGTAAATCCCTGCAAAGTTGAGGGAGAGTTTCCCATGGCTTTTGCCAGCTGTTGACTTGGGCTCTCACCCTGGCAGGACGGAAGAACCATCTTGACAGGATACGGTTTTTCATGGTCTCATTTCAGCAGAGGAGGGAGTCTGAGGAGGTGAAGTTAGCAGCCCTGCAATTTAGATCACAGGCAGATAGGGAAAAGAGCTTCCACAGAGAGAAGAAAAGAAGAGTTGAACTAAGACGAAAATGAACAGAAGTCTGCAGGAGAGACTGTTGCCAGAAAGTCCTGTGTGCCTGACCGAGTTTAACTAGCTAGGTCTCAGTTGCAAAACTGCTAACCATTTTTGGGATGTATCTCGTGTATCCTGTTCAATTCTGCTGGGCCAGTCATCAAAGTTAAGGAGCTGTTTTATACTCTCTTGTGTACAGAGGGGAGAAGCTCAAAGGTCTGCGGTACTGGAATGTGTCTCCTGTACTGGCTTAATCCTCAGGCCAAGTATGTATTATTGTATAACATGCACCTCATAGGGAAGATTAAAAAAAAAATATATATATATATATATATTCCCATTCTCTACCTAGTGTTCTAAGTTCAGGGGAATGGTACAAAACTGCAGAAACCCCTCGGGTCCAAATAGCTTTGATAAACCGTCTTTTGCACGCACAGCCAGAGGGGTAAATTGTATTGTATATAGGGGTATCTGTTTGGTTATGTGCAGTTTATTTTGGTCGAGAATGTTGAAACAGCTGATTTAGGTGAAAGTTGGGCCATATAAAGGTGCGATTCCTGTGTATAACTGTTGCATAAGAACATAACAAGAAGCAAAAGCTACAGAAAGTCATCAATGCAAAGATTTGAAATGGCTTGGCCTAATCTTTTCTCAAGCATTTGCCGCCCTACCGCTGTGGGAGGGAGGAAAGTGCTTTCTTTCACCTCATCATACTGGATGTCACGTCAATTGAGAGAGTATACCGTAGCTCTTCTCACCTCCAGTGTATTTCATCTCTGTTTAAAAGAGTTTGCTTCTGTTCCTCTTGTGGAATACCCATTTCTTGTAGAACTACCCATGGTAGTTTGGACCTGCTGTGTATTGGTATATCAACATTTTACTGTTTCAGTGCAGACAGGACTCTCTCTGTTGTCAGGTTTTCGGGATGAGGCAGTCGCTGCCCACTCGCACTTGGAGGAAAAGGTCAGTTTCACTGGCCTCCTAACCTTGTCAAGTGCCTTCTGGGCAGGATCTAGGGAAGCTACAGCTTGATTTAGCAGAGCTAGAACCTGCTGTGGGCTGTGTGTTGCAGTCATGCAGCCTGGTGTGCAGGGGCAGGTGGACTCGCATTGCGTGCTTCGCCCAGTCACCTTCCTCTAGCCTCTCGGATCCTCTTGGGATGGATGCCAGGCAGGAGCGTCTGAAGGCCAAGTGAGCTGCGTTGCCAGGCCGAGCTCAGGCTTCAGAGCACATGCCTAGTCTGGCTCGTTGTAATGTGGATGAAGAGAATGACCGTGGTAAATGGAAAGGGAATTGTGATGAATTACTTCTGTGGCCTGTTCAGTGTGCAAGCTTGGACTCAGTGGGACAAAGGTGCATAGAAATGACCAGATGTCCTAAGTGTGGGGCAGAGTCCCAGTGCCTACGGGTGTCGGTGAGCTTCTCCTTCAGAGGGTTCCACCTCAAACGTCTAGTTCCAAGTAAGGAACGTGCTTTCACCAAAGGCATCCTAACATCAGGGTGTCCGTACTGTATGTTGTGCCATTGTTTTCACTGGTTGCATTTATTTCACTGGAAGCACTTTGTTTCACTGCGGAAATGCTCCTGTGTTGCCTGTCCTCGTTTCCTAAGCTTTCATCTCCATTTCTGTCATGTCGCCCTTGTGTATGCTGTTACCTCCAGCTGTCGGTGATGCTCGTGTCTCTGGGTCTCGCATTCAATAATGCAATAAGGGCTGTGATATTAGCAGGTGATTTTTGACTCCTCATTTGAAATGAATCGCAATTGAAATAGACAGCAGAAGGAAAAAGAAAAGCATTCCAAAGATGATTTGTAAAGGAGAGGGAAGGGGAGGAGGGGGAAAAAAAAAAAAAAAACAGGCAACTTTCTTTGTGTGTCTTTTTCTTTTTTTTTCCCTTCCCCCCCCCCGAGATGGGATAAATGTGGTCCACACAATTGCTGACTCTCTCTGAACGGGGAATGTATCTTTATTTGCAAGGTCCATGCATGTTTCCCTGGTGCCTATTGTTTGGTTTTTTCCAAGCCCAGTAAGGACTTGGCATAAACATCCCTAAGAATAATGGTCACCTCGCCTAGAGTTACTTGGTTCCAGCCTGTTGTCTCTCGTACAGGACATCATAATGCTTCGTTGCTGTGCAGCTTGAAGGCTCCTCCTACTGACACAGCCTGCATGTAAAAACCTGTACAAGTGCATGATTAACCTGCTAGCATTAATGGTGACCAGTGTGTCTGGGTGGCAAACAAATCGCGTTAGGAAAACAGTTCTATAAATGTCTTTGCAATCGAGTGACCTGGATCACCAGAATCACCTCCCCGGTGTTCGGATGACACGTGTCCAGAGGCAAAGGGAATACACGATCATTCGGTAGAGGAGAAACGTAGCCTTTCAATATAGTTAGCCATTGCTCGAGCATTTTAAGCTTTATTTACTAGGATATCAAATTCTGCAGACAAATCTAAATTGAGAGTATACCGAGAAATGGAAATAGATTTGTGATCACCTCCCACACACATAGGATTTACAGCTCAAAGCCTGCATGTGCACAGAATGCAGTGTGATGCCTACCGTATGGTACCCAAAAGCACCTTGTGATAAACTTTTACTGCTTTTCTTTTTTTTCCCTGTTGTTGTTGTGTTCTATATCTGTTCTCTCCAGGCTTCGTGGACCCGGCCCGAGAAACAAGAGGTATAAGCTTATCAGATCTTTAGCCAACCTTCTTAGTTCTGGGTTCGTTTTGTAAGCATTGCAGATTAACATATCTCTAGTGCAGTAACCATGCCAACTAAACCAGCCTAAATAGTCTAAAATAAATTACAAAGCAGTACATAAAAGAATGAGCTTATAGACTTAGAAGTTGCTTAGCATGTAGCAATGCATTTGTGAATGAGCAAACCAGCTGTGTTGGGAGTGAGCAAACATCGGTCATTAGTAGTCCAGCTTGCCACTTAAAAGAGGAGGACGAAAAGGAGTGGGGGGGATTATAGCAGGTGTGAAACCTGACAAATACCATTTTCTTCCGCACTGGGAGTGTCTATCGGGCTTCTCACCTAGAATTTCAAACTTAGCCACAGCGTGCATTCTGAGATGGTGATTGTTTTCTAAGCGTACTTTCTTCCACTCCAGCCAACTCATCTGTTTGCTCATGGCGCATCTTAGGTTCGATCTCCCGCTAAAGAACAACTGCATCACATTTCTTTTTCCAAGCAATGCAGTGCAATCTTTCCAAGTTACGTTTCTGCAGAAAATACTCCCAGCTGCTGAATTACTGTATTGGTCTTTTTGCATTGGGTCAGTGACTTGCAAGGGTCAGCCATCGGATGTAGGGATAATACAATAACTCCTCTGGGTGCAAATGTGAGTTTGTTGTTTGATTTCATGTTTGGTGATGTATGTAAAGAATAGTAGTTTGCCTTTACATGTACCTGAGTTAATCTATTCTTGCTTCTAAACGGACTGGAAATTTAGTTCTCAGGCAAATTTTATGAATCGGGAGTAGAAGAGCGATAGCTATCAGAGCCGGAGGACTTGGATCTGCGCTTGTAGGATGAACATTAAGGGTATCCTTTTTTTTTTTTTTTGTTCTGTTTTGAAAGCTGACTTTAAACTCAGTGAGCGATGTGGCTCAGAGAGAGCAAGCCTCTATTTTAAACACCCTGTTTTTTTGCCAGAGGGACCCGATAAGACAATGCCCATTGCTATTGTGAAATAGTCTGTTGAAACTTACTAATTGTGCCAAGTGGAGATTTCAGATATTCAGACCAGTCTGTATTGGAATTTGCCTAATTGTATCTCTCAAGGCCCCATGTTAATCCCGATTCTATTTGTCTCCTGCCTCACACACACACACACACACACACACACCTCCCCCCACGCAGAGTCTCTGTCTCAAGCCTTTTATTAATGTGAGCACTAATAGCATAAAGCTTTCTGCCTCTTAACTGTCTTACCTTTTCTGCCTCTTATGAAGTATCAGAAGGGGGTTCTGGGAACATTTTTGGTACCCTGTTTTTGCAGCTTCTGTAGACGTGCCTTTAACACAGCTAGCACGAGGGCTGTAACCAGTCCATTTGAGCAGCTTCCCTGGAAGCTTAGTGAATACTTGATATTAAATCGGTTTCGTTCTTACTGCTGCTAAATCAGCTAGTTTAAAGTAAGGAAATCTGCAGTTGTACCGACAGACAATGGATGTTAAATCCTGCTTTCCTTGTTTTGGAGCTGAAATTACTGTTGACTGCTGCTTCCTCGAAACCGGAGTCAGCTCTAATGCTGCCCAGCCCATCATGCCTTAGTTCATCGTTCTAGTCCTGCTGAAGAATAGGTGAAAGTCATCCCTTGTCAGCACATACTCAGAAAACAGTTAGCAGTAGCAGGTGCTGAAAACTCGTTCACAATGCAAATTATACCTCAGGTCAGGCTTTAGTGATGCATTTTTAATAACCGGGGGCTCCCGTAGATAAGGACTGCAGGCAAGCCCTGGCTAGTGAAGTGAAAGCACAGGGCTGAGAGAGATCCCTCAGCCCCGTCCATTGGAATTTGCAGCTGCGGTCAGTATTTCCAGGTGCTCTTCTGTTATAACCCTAGCGATGTGGAAAGTAGACCAGGAGTATATGAGACTGTATAAAGCTGAGTTGCAGGCCCATTTTTGGGAAAGGCCTGAAAAATCCTGAAGTTAAATGCCGTCAATGCATTTCCCGTCGCTGTGTCCTCTTTCTCTTTGGCACTGAAGCATTGAAATCTAGGCCAGCAGTTTACATACTCGTTGTGTATGACGTGTCATTGTCAAAATTTGGGGGGAAAATACCTCTATGTATCTCAGGGTGACTTGCAGCAAGCCGAGATAGGAAGAGTCGTCATACGCTTTTCTGTAGGGAGGCAGTTGGTAACTTACTGCCTTCTTCCCCCCGTACGTTTTCTCACCGTTGCTGTGAAATGTTCACAGTTATTCAAAACCATGTAAACCAAGGAAGCTGTGTGTGAACGCATTACAGGCTTCTGCATATCCAGCTCACAGGTTTCTTTCTACCTATGGATCTGTGTCTTTCTTAGCCAGGAATTGTTAGCACGTGGTGCATAGCCGGATATGTTCAAGAAGAAAGCAGGTGGCATGCTTTCTTTGGTGAATATTTCTCCCTTCTTTGAAGTATTTTACCTAATGTTTCTTTCTCTTTCCTTGTGCCCTTTGCTTTGGGAAGCGTAGCTTCATCTTTAGTAGTGGTTGCATTATTTAAAAAGTCACTGTTTTATCGCCGCTGCCTAGCTTTATTTTGTTTATTTTGTTGGATCTTGGGGAAATGTGGGTAAAGACAGGCAACCGCAAATACAAAGCTACTTTTGCTGGCGTAGCTGTGCATCGAGATTTTGGCGGATTTGACTACTGAAAGGGTCATAGGAACAAATACTTAGAATTTCCCTCTGTCTTGTGGGCTAGAAGAGAAGCTCTGAGCCTTTACCATTCTAGAGGCTTGATGCTTTTGGATCCCACTGCAAAGGTTTCAGACATGAGTTGGGTTTTGGGAGCAAATCACAGGCCAAGCGAAATGATCACAACTGATGTTAAAGCACAATTCAATTGTGTCAAATACCACGGCGGAATAATCCTGTGTTAGGAGATCCTCTGTTGATTCTAGTAAGTGATACGTGCCACATCATGTATTTATGAAATAAAAAATGATTCCCAGCACTGCAAGGTACCAGCCACAGAAAAGAGGTTGGAGCCACAAGCTTGTGGCGTCGGCCTGGGATTGCAGTAGACCTGCCTGCCGTGGAGGAGTCCCATTTCAGAAAAGAAAAAGACGAAGATGTGGCATGGGAGCCCTTGGTGGCTGCAGTCACTTTGGATTTCCGATGAGCTGATTTTATTTTCCTGGCCTCCTTGTTATCGACATCCCTGCGCTTGTCTGCCGATGTCTGACGGGCGTATAACCTGCGTGGCTCACTCTAGAGTTTTCTTGGTTTCAAGCAGGGCCACCGTTAGACACGTCGCTTGGTTTTCCTCCCTTGTTCATTGTGCCTTGCTCGGCTCAGTGTCGTGGTTGGGAAAAAAGGCCTGAGGTTTCATTTTGCCTGATGACCTATTGCCCTCCGAGGCCTGGATCTTCTCTTGTTTGTGAGCAGTGGATGTTGCAGTGAAATAAGCACTGCTAAGGGAGGAGTAAGGCATGAATTCTCTTACTGGAAACGCGGTATTAGTTAGGGCAGCTTTTTACAGGAGGCCATGCTCGCAGAAACGTTTTAAGCAGAGCAGGAGCTCTACAGTTGTGACTCGGAGAAGACCCTTGGTGTTCTACAACTGTCCACAGACACGTAACATCTGACACTTGGGTCCTTCCTCAGGTGTGGCCCAGCATAGGTTATTTCTTTTTCCCCTGCCCCGTGGGTGCCTTGGGACCAACCACGCTCAGCCCTGTGCAACAAGGACTCTTCTTGTTGCTGTTCCGAATGCCACTGCATGCCCTCGACTTGGGGCCTGCTTTGAGGTGGTCACTTTGTGAAGCGCAACGGAAGGGTTGGTGGAGGGCAGACTTGCATTCGTTCTCATCCCCTTCCTCCCTGTAGTCTGTGCTGCAGACTCAGAGCTCAGCCTCTGACTTTCTCTTCCTTTCCTGCCAGACCCTGGACGGGCGCATCGTAATACGTAGCCATGCCCGGGTGTCGTCCCTGACGCTTAAGGAAATTCAGTACACAGATGCCGGAGAATATGTATGTACAGCCAGCAACACCATCGGGCAGGACTCCCAAGCCATGTACCTCGAAGTGCAGTGTAAGAAAGGAGGGGAGGGGCTCCTGTCTTCAGAGGGGAACTCTCTTTTTATTTACTTGTCCTCTAGTGAGACTGAAGTGCCCACCGCTACAGAAATGTGAGAGTGGCCCTGTAGACCTGTGCGTCTGCAGTCTGTCGCATTAGGCCACCTGCAGCTGGGTATGGTTTGCGTAGAGGGCACGCGAAGCAGCGCAGCCGGGCGTGAGTTTGTTGGAGACGTAGGTTGCTGCGTGCATACGTGCAAAGGGTGGCACTGGTTGTCTCCAACTGGGGTTTCGTTTGCACTCTACGAAGAATGTGGGCCTGAGATCCCTCGCTGCTCCTGCATTGCAGGCTAGCGGAGGAAGGCAGTGTAGATGCCCCAGTCGTCTTATCCTTTAGCTTGTCGGTGACGCTTCCTAGACGAGCAGACATCATGCTGCCTGCTCATCCTGCCACATTATGGTAGGAGCAAGCGCAAGCTTGGGGACTGAACAGGCTTTCTCCTTACCACCTTCTGGTGTGTGAGAGCACTCTGCCCTTTTCCTGCCTTCAGTTCACTTCCCCACAGTAAAGCATGCCCTAGACAAGGATTCCTCAAAGCCAGGCCGATGGGCCTGCTCTCGGTGGTTTTGCGGCTCACTTTGCTTTCACAAATGTGTCTTTGTTTCAGATGCGCCCAAGCTTCAGGGCCCTGTGGCCGTCTATACCTGGGAAGGGAATCAAGTGAACATCACATGTGAGGTATTTGCTTATCCCAGCGCTGTCATCTCCTGGTTCCGGGATGGTCAGCTGCTTCCTAGCTCAAACTACAGCAACATCAAGATCTACAACACTCCCTCAGCAAGCTACCTGGAGGTAAGCAAAAGCAAGGGAAACAATAAGCAGTCCGGAGGGCTTATGAGGTATTTGGTGAGGTATGTAGCTGAGGCTGAAGGAGTTCAGTGCTGTGTGAGGGCTCCCCCCTCACACAAGAGGCGGGCAGAAAGTTGCCTCTTGTTTCTGGCATATGAGTGCTAAGAGAACCAGGTAGAACCAGATAGAGAAGCTGCCACTTCCTCTTTGCCTTTCTGTCCGCTCCGGTTCTCCACATCGTGGGCAGCCTTCAGAGTGTTGGTGCATTTACTCTGTGGTTGTTTCTCGCCCCAGCAAAATGCAAAGGACATTGGTGGAATGAAAATGGCTTTCTAATCGAAGCACACTCCTTCATTGCTCCCCTCAGGTGACCCCAGACTCTGAAAATGACTTTGGAAACTATAACTGCACTGCAGTGAATCGCATTGGCCAGGAGTCCTCGGAGTTCATCCTCGTGCAGGCAGGTGAGCATCCCAGATGGGTCATAGGCGACCCGAGAGCTGCGGTGACAGACAGAAATTCTTCTCTCATTTGCGTGGCTAGTAACACGCAAGACAAGCGGCTTTCACTTTCTAGGAAACTATTGATGGATTTTTTTCAGTTGGGATAGATGGTGGATAACATGATCCTTGCTGTCTCGGTGCCCCGTGGAAGGGACTTGCAGAGACAGAACGGCATCCCAGGTGCTTTTGCTGCCCTGCTCACGGTGTCCTTTCTGATTAAAGAAAATGTGTAGTATCGGAGAAAGTAATCTCTAGCCTCCTGGAGGAGGGAGAAGATGAAGGCTTCTAGGCTGCGTAAGCCACACTTCTCACAAGCCCTGCAAAGAAGCCTCACGGCTGTGCTCTCTTCCCCCTGTACGTATGAGATGATGAGAAGGATGTTTTAGAGCTTCCTGGTTTTCTGCTTTCTTTCAGCCGCTCGAGCTGGGGCTCCTGGTTGCTCTTCGCCTTCTATATCACTGCTCCTTTCCCTTCCTCCTCCAGATACTCCGTCCTCTCCTTCCATTGACAGAGTGGAGCCCTATTCCAGCACCGCCCAGGTGGAGTTTGACGAGCCTGAAGCTACCGGTGGGGTGCCCATCCTCAAGTACAAAGCAGAGTGGAGGGCTCTGGGCGAGGGAGAATGGCGCTCCCGGTTGTATGATGCAAAAGAAGGTAGGATACCGAAGGAGGATGTTAGCGCCTCTTCTTGCATCTCAAGAGACTCTCCTCTTCTGTAGAAGGAAGTGGCAGAGGAGAGTTTCCTAGCTGTGATTTCAGCACCTCTTTGAGGATCTTGCGAAGCCCGTGGCTATCAGTGTGCCAACAGTACTCTGAAGTCACTCTGCGCAGAGCAGCTGTCTGCTAGCTCATCTGCACCTCCAGACTGGCCTGGCCGTTCGCTTTTTTATGCTAGTGTGATATGCATGCTCAGAACATAAAGTAAGGACCCAGACCAGTGTATTAGCATTGGCTTTGCAGCGACACCTTACATTCCCAGTCACAAATGAGGGCTCCCCTGTGGTATACGTAGCTGACCATAGCTGGATTCCTCGTGTTTGCTTCACTATGCATGTTTCTAAGCGGCCATGTGTTCCTCTGCGGTGGCCAGGGGGTGGGACTCCTGCCTGCTGTGGGAGGGCTGGTCGCAGGTCCTCAGTACTTAATGCTTTTAAGCTTGCCAGCGGCGGCTGAAGGCCGCTTGCCCTTCTCGGTGAAGGAGCGCAGGCTTGGACCCTCCAGCCCAGAGATGGGCGGCTGTGGGGCTGCTCCGTGTGCTGCAGCCAGAGCCGCCTGTGCCAGCGACTACGGAGCTCCCTGGTACAGGCCAGAGGCCAACAACTTGTGTGGTGGCCGGCTCGAGCTCTGCAGCGTTCGCCTCTGTGGCAGTGCCACCGCTGCCCTCACCTGGGTTTCGCACACAGGGATGTGCTAGCTCTGGCCTTTCTCGTTTGTGTGCGTTGCCTCTCTGAGACTGGGCGCAGAAGAGGGCTCCCGTTGCGGGGTGAAAGGGGCGGAATGCGATGGAAACACTGCGTTTAGTGGGAGCTCAGGCCTGAGCCTTTCCCTCTGCTTTTCCTCCCTGTTTCTGCAACAGCCAGTGCGGAGGGCACGATCACCATCACTGGCCTGAAACCTGAGACAACCTACTCGGTGAGACTCTCTGCCGTCAATGGCAAGGGTGTGGGTGAGATTAGCCTGCCATCCGACTTCAAGACACAGCCAGTTCGTAAGTAATGCCAAGAGCTGCCCCTGCTTCTCTGCTGCGCTTTCCTTGCGTCTTTCCAGGGAAAATCTACCATGCATGGATGACACCTCCTTCTCTTGCAGACCTGGCTGCATCCCTTGTTTGTTGCGGTTTTGATTGTAGTGAATATCCGCACTAATTAAACCTCTTCTTTGAAGGTAGGAGGCAGAGGAGCTATCTGCCCTAGTCTGTTCCCTGAGCTACTAGTGTAAGCTTTGTGTTGTCAGACGCTTGGAATTGCGCGTCGGTTGGAGAGGTCGGCAATGTTTTAATAATGCAAACAAGCGGTGTGCTGACAAGTATGTGGTCAGAGAGAGTGCGAAGTCTATTCATTGTTACAAAACAGACTTTTTTCCCCCCAAAGCACAAATCGATAGATTTATCAGAGGAGTGGCCCTGACCTGTGGAAGGAGGCAGGAGGGCAGAGGGGATTTCTCTTTCCTGCGGAGTACTGCCCTCCTGCAGCACACAAGTCCATTTGCAGGGCCTCTCGTCCACTTCACTTAGGCAACCTTCCTCTCCAAAGACAGCATGCTCCGCTGTGGCCTAACACTCCCTCCTAGTAACAACCAGGAAAAGGGAGGCAGGAGTCAAAACGGGAAACTCTTGGGCAGGTGGAAGACAGAGGGGGAAAGGATGAGAAGGGTGGTGGTGGGGAGGATGGACGTGGCGGAAGCAGTGACGGGAGGGCATCGCTTACCATTGTGTGACACCTCACCCCTATCTTTAGGATCCCTGATGAGCACACCGCAACTCCTGGGGTTCTTCCACTCCGTTCCTTTGGCATTTAAGTCTAGTGTCTGCTGTTCTTCCCGCTGTCACACCTGTGCCTCACGTACTTCACAGCTCTTTGGAAACGTAGGAGCATGTAGGACCTTCCCCTCAGCTCAGAGCCGATAATGTGGCTGGCCCATGGATGTGCATGCTCTGAGGCCCTGAGAGCTGTGTCTCGTCTTGATTTGGTCTCCCAACTTCTGCCTTACCAGAGCTGCCGAGCAATGTGGGACAGCACATGGGCCTTGCTGCTTGGAAATCTAGGCCATGCACCACAAGCCAGCCCTCACACGCGATGTGCCCTTGGTTGCGATAACTCCTGCTGCCCGCCCCACTCCCTGGGGCTGCGCTCGCGACGGCCGGTGCGGTGGTTTGCGTTTCCAGCTCCCTGGGCTCTATCTCCTCTTCTCATCTCTTTTACCTTTTTTCTATCTCTGTCTTCTCTTTTTTTGGTCTGTGTTCCATCCATGGAAAAACCGCAGGCATCCCTCATTCACGTAAGTGCCTGTCCGCCTTTCTTTTGCACCCTTCTCTGTTCCTGGAGTGTTCCTGTAACAAACATAGCACTAGCATTTAATCTAGTGATGTTTTCCTCTTGTGGTCCTTAGAAGTAACGTGGTCGGTATTTTCTAACAAGACTGACGCTGGAGTAGCCCTTCTTCTCTGGTTTGCGTGGCTCTGTAGAAAACAGAACTAGGAGTTAACCCCTATTTCTTCATTGTGTAGCATGCAATTCAAATATTCAGCTTGCAGTGCTGTTTGTGATAGTAGCGGTTAGCTCGTTAACCACAGAGCAGAGCAGTAATGGAAGGCTGCATTTAGTAGGAATCGGATCAAAATTTTTCGAATTTGAATAAAACGTCAATACTCGGAAAAAAAATTAGAGAAAGCTTCAGCTATACTGCCAATCTGGTTTAGACTGAGGAGACGAGCAAACTTTGGGAATTTTGACTATTTTCAATGTTGGGAAACAAGCAGAGAAAAACTTCGAAAAATTTGCACACTTTTTCTCTTCTTCCTAATAGTCTTCATTTCTAGTAGCCTGTAGACTGTCTACCGGCAGTTGTGTGGTTTTGCTTCTAAACAAAAAGCAAACAAATATGTTTTAAATGTTAAAGTGCACATTTCGCCGTAGCTGCAGGACCCGAAGCCTGCTTCAGCTCTCTTTCCACAGCTTATGCAAAAGAGCGGACTTAGTGGGTAAGCAGCAGTAGGAGTGGATCGGTAGATGGCTCCTGAGATGCGTCTCAAGAAGAAAATGCACGAGTTGACAGGTGGATAGATAAAATTTTAGAATTGGTAGTCACAGGGTGGATAATAAATGGATTTATCTTACCATTGGGCTCCGTGGTGTGCTCTGAGCCTAGTAACTTCAGCAGAAGTAATTAAGCCCATATATGAAGTCAACTGTACGGTACTTGTTAGGCACATGGTTTGGCAGGCCGTTCTGAACTGACGGCCTCAATAATACGTACGGGAGGTAAAGTCTTAAACATGTGATAAATTTGAGAAATGGGCATAGCGCTGCTGTACAGGACTGTGTGAGAGAAGAGCTGGAGGAGGGCACATCCTTACTAATAACATGTGTAGTCACTACTGTAGGGGCCTTCCACTGCCTTTCCACCCGCAGCAGTCAGGAATTACTAACTCCAAAGCTAGTTAGATGGAGGCAAACAGTGACGTGGTGGCGAAACAGAAGGCAGGCGCTGGCTGAGCACTCCCAAAACTCAGTGGGTTGCTCCCAGTTGCCTGTAAGGGCGCATACCTGCTATCAGAATGCCCCGGAGGGAGAACTTGTGATATGCTTGCCTAAGAAGGTACTGATTGCCCTTCCCCTGCTCACATTCATTTTTCTTTCTTTAGCAAGTGCTGCTGCCCCCACCTCCTGCTTAGCAGAGAGTGAGTATGATGGAAAGAGGTTATCTTTGCTCCTTTTGGCTCTGCATGCATTTCCTCACTGGCTGTGGTGTAGTCTGCCTAACATCCTTCTTCAGCTTTTTTTTTTTTTTTTTTTTTAAATATATATCCTGGAGGAAAACTAAATCTTCAGCTAGAGGAGCTGCAGAAATGCACAGATTTGGTTTTCAAGACAGACAGAAAAGCCACAGATTGCACCCAAATGCTGTGGCCTAGTGGGAGGAGAGGTTGAGGGCTTGCTGGAGGGAGGGATCAGGCTTCGGTGGAAGTCCGAGCGGGACTACTAAAGTGAATGGCTTGTATCTCTTTTATCTGCATCATCAGATGGAAGCAGCCAGCCATCCAAGGGGCTGTTTCTGCTCTCCCCTCACATGAGCAGCACTGATGGCAGCATAGAAGAGGAAAATGAATTAGCCAAAGGCGTTTAATTTACCCCACTCTGCAACTGTAGTATTGCTCTGCTCTGCCCCATTTGGAATATGTCACAAGCTTTTTATCTTGGAGAATGCTGCCTACTACTGTAGTAGAGAAGTCCCTTATAGCTGTCTCAGTTATTCTGCATTCTCTGTGTGCCTCTTGGAAATATTTGTATTCATCCCTTGTGCTTCTCTCCTCATGGTCCTAGAAGTTGATGCTTGTATAGCCTGCCCTTCTTCTTGAGAGTGGAGGAGTGCTTAGTAGTGTTACTAAGGAGCTTTCAGCCTAAAAATAGGTAAAATAGGTATTCACAAAAACCTTATTTCTCTTTGCTTTAGTACTTTTTCTAATGCCCGTCTCTGAGGTGAGGAACATGTTTTTTCTTTTTTCTTTCTTTTTTTTTTTTTTCTTTTGGCAAAGCAAAGAAACAGTCGTCTGTCTTTTCCCAATTCTGCTTCCTGTTTCTTTTGTCAAAGTATTGGCTTACAGGAAGGCAGAGGAGATTATGAATGCCAAGTACAGAGGAATTTAGCTGGTGGCCATGCACAAGTAGCAGAATCGAGGGTATTCCCTTAAAGCTAAGCACTTGTACGTGGTGCTTGCCTTTTGAACCCCCTGTTCTCTCTGTCCATCTACGTGACTAGAAAGAGAAGGTCAGAGTAGATACTTGGTCTCATCTTAGTGACATTCCTATCTGTTTTGCTACCAGAGCAGCTCAGAAAGTGTCTTCCTCTAGGTCATCAACATCCGGGAATAGGGGATGAATTAACCCATCAGCGAGGGTGCTTGGACTCTTAAGATCTCTTTCCTTTGTCCCCCCAGCCATGTCCTGGCCTGCGTTTTCATGGAGGCAAGGAAGCGCTGTATATCTGGAGGGTAGCTTCTCATTACTCCTTGCTCCCATCTTTTTTGTAGCTGCGTCTGCGTAGAGCTAGGGAAAGGGGGCCTCCTAGAAATTGCAGTGCTTAACGGCTAGGAGGAGGTTTCAAGTGAACCAAAGTTGTTATCTGGGACCAAATTAGGCAGAAATGCTGTAGCTGTTCGTGAAATTGCGTTTAGAGCGGTAAAGCACTGGTGGGTGAAGTCCTCTGTGAGGACTGTTGGAGCGGAGGCTTCCTGTAAGCAGGATCCCCGCAGCTCAGGCTTACTGCTCTGTGATCTAGAATGGTCTGCAGTGGGTGACCGAGTTCTCCCCATGGAGCACGGGGAGCAGCACAGTCAGCTCTTCAGGTAATAGACATCAGGTATATGCAGTATATATGCCAGGTGTTGCATATACCTGAGGTCTCTTAGCTGATGCAGTATACCAGGACAATAGACTTGAGGTAATAGACAGGTGATAGGGATTCATTGATCGGTGCTCTCACTCCCTCCTCATTAGACCCCCCCCCCTCCCCCCCGTTTTTCTTCCTGTAGCCCCTGCTCCCATCTCTCGTTCCTTTTTCATCCTATGCTCACCCTTACCCGTCCAATCTATCTTCCATCTTTCCATGGCAATTCAGCCTCTTACTGGATCTGAAAGCACAGAGCCACCAAGTGAGTAGATGGCAACTGCTCCCCTTTGTTGCTGAGTGCTACTTGTCACGCTTGTACCCCTTCTACTGAGGCAATTAAAGCACCCTACCATGTTATTCTGCTGTCTGTTAAGCAGCAATCTGGCCGTAAGGGGTTGTGTGGTGAGCATGTAGGCGTTTAAGAGCCTGGCATGGTACTGCCGCTCTTCCTCCTCCCGTTGTCCTACCAAGCATATGGTAGAAGCAATGGTAGAAGATACACAGAAGGAGGAAGGAAAAGGGGCGGGCGAGGAAGAGAAGTTAAATGATTGTTTCCAAAAGGAACATTTTCCTTATTAATATTCGTGAATGATTTTAAACTCAAAGCTGCCTTTGTACAAGGACATGGACTGGATATTGTGTTGATATCCCGCCTAACTATTTCCTCTAGATTTAGGGAGTGAAACACAGTTGATATTGGACAAACGATGTAAATGAAGACTGTCGTGAGGAAGTAGACTATCTTACAGGGGAAAGGTCTGCAGGAGGAAGGGAGGATTACCTCGTCGTACCAGTGGAGCTCTCCCTGTGCTCATAGTGTAGGAGTGCGGGAGATTTCTAGTAGGTCGGCTCATGCACAAAGCAAGCAAGTGATTTGCAACACAGTCCTGGACGATGATGCAAAACAGGTCAGGAAGACGTAGGCTTCCTTGTACACGGGTGTGCTTTGTGCAACTAATCACTGCTAGAAACCCAAATGCCTTTCCAGGGATGTGCAGAGATTCAAGGTGTGTCATTATGTCAATATGGTCTTGGAGATAAGGCCCTGTTTACTTGCAGTGGGTTAGAAGATAGAGGCCGACACCTCTCACCAGAAAATGCTAACAGCATGAAGCATGTGACTCTGGGCCTGGGGCAGAGCAGGAGAGGAGAGTGCCGGAACAGTACTGCACGCTCTGTGATGACACGTTACAGGAAATGTCCCTTTATTTGCCTGTGACCCCAGCCAACACTTTCCTTCTTGCGGTATTTTTCAGGTATGCGACATGCAGAATTTTACTTCTTACCATTTCTGTTTCAGCAGTGATTCTGTACTGCTGAGGACGACTCTTCGTTCGAACGGTGATTTGGGGGTGGGATAGAGAGGGGAGAGAAAAGACAAGGATGGCAACGAGCAGCTCTCCTCATTTTTCTTATTTCATCGCTTACTTTTCAGACGTATTTCATACTTTAACAGCAAGTAGGGACTCTCATTGTGTTGGTTCACATCTGTGGGAATAGGAGATACCTGCCTGTAAGAGAAAACGCTGTGTTCGTGTTTTGTGCAACACACTCTGTATTTCTTTAAAAAAAAAAAAAGTGCCTTTCGACCCAGAAAAGATAGTGAAAGCTTAAAAACTACTTTTTCCACGCCTCTTATTTATTTATTCGTTGGTTCATTTCAGTTGTAAACCTTTCCAGTTTCAGCTGTGGCAAAGCTCAGGTTTTTAAGCTGAATGGAGGCAAATTTGGCCTTTCACTGACTCATTATTTGTATGTATGATTTCTTTCTATAAGTAGTGGATGCATTTGTTCCTATTCAGAGTTATCCTGCAGTATATTCAGGTGCTACAGTCAGCGGTGGGAAATGGGCACTGGGTTGGATGGAGCTCGTGCACTTTCAGTGGTAACTGTTAGACTGATCAAAGGCCGTAGCAACTGTGGGATCCATAGCTCTGTCCTTGGGAATGTTTACACACGGTAGGTTTTCACATTTCCCAGTCGTTACGCTCGTTAACATCTCGGAAGATGTTTGTTCCTGCAGAAGGGAGACCACTTCAGAACGGAAGACCGCAATTGCTCCTCCCGGAGCCCTGTGGACTGGAATGTGGAGCACCTCACCTCTGCTGCCGGGCTCGGCTGTGAATAACATGCTTTGCCTTTGTCCTCCGACAGTCTTGTACGCAGCGCTCCTGTGGATCCCCTCAGCTGGCCAAGTTCTGGCGCCCAGCCCGTGCTCCCAGTAACTTGTGTTTCTTCCTTGTCGTGGTGTTAACACAGCGCGATGCCGCTGCGCCCAGCGCTCGCGGGACTGGAACTCGGTGCTCTCTCTGGCTTAATATTCTTCTCTTTCCAGGCAACCTGGCTGTCTCCCCAGTGTTTCTGATATGTGCTGGCCTATTTACTTTTGTTTCTGTTTGACTTGGTCTGTAATTCTGTTGCTGGTTTTTCCCTTGCCCATTGTTCACATCCGTTTTTTAATTTTTTGTATTTTCCATGTGACCTCCTCCACTTTCCTTTCAACCAATCATGTGCGTGCGTATCATGTGACTTTGTCATGTGGCTTGCATGGTGCTGATGATGTCGTCCACGCTGGTGAACAGAAGGTAAAACACTTTGTTCTGCTTGATTGGCTACCCCTGGGGGGAGGATCCCCTCGGCCCGGCACTGAGGGGCCTCCGAGCGCTGGGCTCCCCTCAGAGCCGCCTGCCAGCCGCTGGAGAGCCCGCTCAGCCCCGTCTGCATGCGACACGCTAAGCTCCGGGCTGCTCTGCAGAGCTCCAAGAAGCCTTAAGCTTGGGGGAGAAGAAGGACCAAACGAATGTGGCTCAATCACTTGCTTCTCTCATTGCCAGAATCCAGCAGTCCGTGCCATAGTAACGACCTAGACGCCTGTGTGCCCTTACAAGTGGTGGGCAGCCCCCTTTTTTCTCTTTCAAGGGACCAGTGTGCCAGCTTCAGACTGCTAGTCCATGTGAAGGGCACTCGGGTGGTGTAAACCACCATATATGCCTTCTGTTGCCTACGCCACCTTTCCACGTTGCCCTTGCCAATTCAGTTCTTCTAAAGGTACTCTTTCTGCAGCTAGGCATTTGAGTAGCCTACCACAAGGATCAGAAGATCCGTTTCTCCGCAACTTAGTCATGAGCGGGAATGTCCTGCTGTGATTTAAGAAAGAACTTTCTCTAGCATGAGTAAAGCTTGAACGTCGCTAGAGTGGGAATTGTGTT